TAGTAGCGGATAGTAAACTCTTTTCAATATTTGACAACATCATCATGATTGTCAACATACAGAACGAATCAATCAAACGTGGATGAAACAGCAAAAGCACTCTCACAAATTTCTGAGAATAAAGACTGCGTGGGAAGGATTTAATAGTTTATAAAAAACCTTGCAAGCAAAGTGAAAAATGTCCTGGAAATAATTAAAGACGGAAATATTGGAAGAGGTTATGGTCAAGACGCTGCATGACCGGCAACAAATTACAGTGTCTTTGTACAGAGATTTGTCATGGACGCTACATATATGGTACTTACACCAGCTCCAATAGTACTCATTGTGACGTAGTGAGTGTAAAATACTACGGAAAGACTGGAAATGTGCGAAGAACTAGAGATTAACACTCGTTCAACACACCGAACGGCCTGTCTAACCACAACCAAATCTGACTGGAGCGCTCGCAGCGGCGGTGTGCGAAAGCTCCCCACGCACTAACCAAGGCAACGACCGATAGATGTCGCCACCAGCCGGGCAGGAGTTACTCCGTGCGCCAAGAGAGTCTAGGCCCATTCCGCGGGGTAGGGATGTTGCCACCGGCGCGGTGCGGGGAATTCCAGCGCGGCAGCCTGGCAAATGACGTTTTTCAGAAAACTCTCGCGCTCAGAAATTTCACAGATCACGCCTTTCGCAATACTCAGCGCGCCCCCCCTCCCAAAAAAGGTAACAAAGTTGTGTAAGATTTGCGTCTGCCCTTACTTCAAGGAAAGTTGAGGTTTTGCGTCTTACTTAAGGGCCACTGCCACGCCACCACGCCTCGACCGCGGCCGGGCCCCTGGCGCCGCGTCGTGAAATACGGCAAGTCGGACGCTACCTCGCATAATGAGCGCGAAACTTAATCGTAAATTATGACAACGAGTGCGGGCGCCTCCATCCCTCGCGGAGTGCGACGGCGCTGGGGGGGGGGGGGGGGATCTTGGATAGTGGGGTTGATGTGGCAGGAGAGCTTTAGGGGCCAGCGTTACTGATACCCGGCCGGGCCGAGCCGGCGTCTAAAGTGTGACGTCTGAATGGTAGGCAATAAAGCATTCCGGCAAATCTGAAATGCCGAAGAATGCGGGGAAGAAGAAAACGGAAATCGCTATGCTTTAACATGGTGACTTCCGTTTTCTTGTTCCTCGCATTCTTCTGCATTTCAGCTTTACCGGAATGCTTTAATTATGCTACAAAACCGCTGCATATAGGTAACACACGGGGCACGTCCCACTCTGACAGCCGCTTGCGGAGATGGCGTCGGCGCCTTGGCCGACCCCTGCCTCCCCCCCC